CAATATATCTATTGACAAGCTTTGTTGTACACAATATATATTGTACACTATATACAAGTATAATAATATATACCAACAGAATTGCTACATTTGGATAGTTGAACTATCTATCAGTAGGTGTGCTGTTTAATTTATTCAAAAGGTATCAGATATTTAAGGTTGACATATGTTTGTGTGAAAAGGTTGTATGCAGAGAGATCTAAAGCCCTTAAAAAGTACCCTAGCATTAAATGCTTAAGGAAAATAATTGTAATGCCTAACTGAAACTATTGATTTTCAATATATCTATTGACAAGCTTTGTTGTACAAAATATATATTGTACACTATATACAAGGATAATAAGATATACCAACAGAATTGCTATATTTGGATAGTTGAACTATCTATCAGTAGGTGCTGTTTAATTTATTCAAAAGGTATCAGATATTTAAGGTTGACATATGTTTGTGTGAAAAGGTTCTATGCAAAGAGATCTAAAGCCCTCTAAAAGTAGCCCAGCATTAGTTTAAGGAAAATATATTGTAATGTCTAACTGAAACTATTGATTTGCAATATATTTATTAAAAAGCTTTGTTCTACAAAATATATATTGTACACTATATACAGGGATAATAAGGTGTACCAACAGAATTGCTACATTTGGATAGTTGAACTATCTATCAGTAGGTGCTGTTTAATCTATTCAAAAGGTATCAGATATTTAAGGTTCACATATGTTTGTGTGAAAAGCTTGTATGCAAAGAGATCTAAAGCCCTCTAAAAGTAGCCGAGCATTAGTTTAAGGAAAATACATTGTAATGTCTAACCGAAACTATTCATTTGCAATATATCTATTGACAAGCTTTGTTGTACACAATATATATTCTACGCTATATACAAGTATAATAAGATATACCAACAGAATTGCTCTATTTGGATAGTTTAAATATCTATCAGTAGGTGCTGTTTAATTTATTCAAAAGGTATCAGATATTTAAGGTTGACATATGTTTGTGTGAAAAGGTTGTATGCAAAGTAGCCCAGCATTAGTTTAAGGAAAATACATTGTAATGTCTAACTGAAACTATTGATTTTCAATATATCTATTGTACACTATATACAAGGATAATAAGATTCACCAACACAATTGCTACATTTGGATAGTTGAACTATCTATCAGTAGGTGCTGTTTAATTTATTCAAAAGGTATCAGATATTTAAGGTTGACATATGTTTGTGTGAAAAGGTTGTATGCAGAGAGATCTAAAGCCCTTTAAAAGTACCCTAGCATTAAATGCTTAAGGAAAATAATTGTAATGCCTAACTGAAACTATTGATTTGCAATATATCTATTGACAAGCTTTGTTGTACAAAATATATATTGTACACAATATACAAGGATAATAAGATATACCAACTGAATTGCTATATTTGGATAGTTGAACTATCTATCAGTAGGTGCTGTTTAATTTATTCAAAAGGTATCAGATATTTAAGGTTCACATATGTTTGTGTGAAAAGGTTGTATGCAAAGAGATCTAAAGCCCTCTAAAAGTAGCCCAGCATTAGTTTAAGGAAAATACATTGTAATGTCTAACCGAAACTATTCATTTGCAATATATCTATTGACAAGATTTGTTGTACACAATATATATTCTACGCTATATACAAGTATAATAAGATATACCAACAGAATTGCTCTATTTGGATAGTTGAACTATCTATCAGTAGGTGCTGTTTAATTTATTCAAAAGGTATCAGATATTTAAGGTTGACATATGTTTGTGTGAAAAGGTTGTATGCAAAGAGATCTAGAGCCCTCAAAAAGTAGCCCAGCATTAGTTTAAGGAAAATACATTGTAATTTCTAGCTGAAACTATTGATTTTCAATATATCTATTGACAAGCTTTGTTGTAGACAATATATATTGTACACTATATACAAGGATAATAAGATTCACCAACACAATTGCTATATTTGGATAGTTGAACTATCTATCAGTAGGTGCTGTTTAATTTATTCAAAAGGTATCAGATATTTAAGGTTGACATATGTTTGTGTGAAAAGGCTGTATGCAAAGAGATCTAAAGCCCTTTAAAAGTACCCCAGCATTGAATGCTTAAGGAAAATAATTGTAATGTCTAACTGAAACTATTGATTTCCAATATATCTATTGACAAGCTTTGTTGTACACAATATATATTGTACACTATATACAAGTATAATAATATATACCAACAGAATTGCTACATTTGGATAGTTGAACTATCTATCAGTAGGTGCTGTTTAATTTATTCAAAAGGTATCAGATATTTAAGGTTGACATATGTTTGTGTGAAAAGGTTCTATGCAAAGAGATCTAAAGCCCTCTAAAAGTAGCCCAGCATTAGTTTAAGGAAAATACATTGTACACTGTTATTTTTTAGGAGTTGATTTAACACACATAAATAGGTTTAATTAAACCCGTTTGGGCGAGTTCTTTTATTGGAGTTAGTTTAACTCCATTTATGGGATTATAACAACTCCGGGAGAAAATAGGACTTAAAAGTAACCCTAGATAAGGGTTACATTTAATCCTGTACATGGAGTAAAACTTCATTTTGTATATTTAACCCTGTTTTGCGAGTTGATTGGGGAGTAAGCATTTAATCCTTCCAATCATGAAATTACGAGTGCGCGATATTTTAAATCTCATCTTCGCCCAAATTTTTGTGCTTATAAAACTTAGCAGACAATTTTTTTTTATTCAATATTTATCAGGCATACTCTTGGAACGTCTGCGAGCAGGCTAGCTCTCTGCTCTTGGTAAGGACTAAGGTGCATGTACGAAAATACATGCGGAAATCTAAGATGGTGGATCAAAGGGTTGGAATTTGATTATTTTTTCATAATTAAGACTACTTACTTGTGAAAAATATTTATCGATTTTACTTTGCCAGATTTTAACCAAGTAACGTTTTAAAATCTTGTTAATTCGATTACCCCGGGCGCAAATACTTTTTTTCAAAAAAGCACTTTTATTCTAAAATGCAATGCAAATTGCGCGTTTCGTATTGTTTTTCCGAAAGTACGCGTATACAATATGAAATATGAAAACACTTTGGCACCAGTAGCCCAGATATTAAATGAAATCAGCTACAGACAAGAATAACTGCAGTTCAGAGATCCCCCAAAATCTTAAGTGGTTCAGACAGGAAAGGTCCGGGGATGGTGGGCTTGCCCCCCCCCACGTCAATAATTTTCCAAAATATGTTGGCTTTTAACAGGAACTACTTATAACTCAAGCTGTATTGTCTAAGTTTCAAAAAGAATAATTCCTGACTTTTACCTAAGCCAAAACATACAAAACACCTGTTTAGCTACAGAAACACATGGCCCTGACCCCTACATAACAAACGCCTCCGGCGTTCGACACCCCCCACATACCCCATATCAAAACTGCTCTGTGGTCCCTGCGATATTGAGCTTGTGGTTCTATTACAAAAGTTAGAGGGAGCAGCTCATTTGCATATAGTCCCCAGCCTCGTTTCCAGGCGCTTTAAATAAAATAAAATATAGGAACACTACAGGCTTTTTACATAGATCAGTGGCTAAGCAGAGTGCAAGGAATTTTGGGGAGGATGCAGAGAAAGAACTCAAAGAAGCGCCTGGCAGAAAATGCATACAACATGGCGGCTCACGATTTATGAGTTAACTTCACGGTTGTTAATTTATTCAAAAGTGCAAAAGAGGAACTTGTTAGAATATTAATTCTGCCCGACTTTTTAAGAGCAATACACAGAATTATATGCATGGGGAAAATTTTATGCACAAGTGTTTAGGTATCGCACTGTCATCATTTCCAAATAAAGAATTTTCAAGCGGGGCAAAAGGCGAATGCATTCGAATTTGCAAAATTCTCCATGAAGAAACAAGAAAATGTATGGATAAGATATTTGATTATCGTAGAACAAAGGTATGCACCTCTATATACATTTATTTTAACTCTTATGAAGTTCTAAAATATATCATTTTGGTATTTTTATTAGAATTTGGGAAACGTCCCTTGATAGTATGCTTTTATCCTCACTGGACAAATCGAGGGAAGCCATCAACAGTGACTGTTCTACATATACATTTGGATCCATATTATATTCCACAATTCATTCCAAATCTGCAGCCAATCTGTGCCTTCTTTTATTGCATTGGCCACTTGACAAATTATATGCTAGAATATAGTAGCTGTCATATTATCGCATCCAAACTCGTGTATTGAGTACAATTTAATACAGAAGAAGTGAAAGAGATTATTTACAACAAGCTAATATTTATACCTAACTACATTACCCATCATGCACGGGGCACAAGTTACACAGGGCACCTATGTAGATAACGTTACATCCTTCCTTTTTTTTCTTTTCCTTTAGAAATATACCTAAAAGTTCTTCTTTTTTTTTTTTGAAGATTTTCTTTAAAAATAGTTCTATAATATGTGTGCCTATGTAATAGGGTTCCAAATAATCTATATTGTTTTTCTAAAGAGTTCATAATGAACTGACAAGCAATATTCTCAGCCTTATAACGGACTAATCCAATCCTAGTCTAGGCAACTTGGCGGTTTGAATACTCGGCCACTCCTTGTCACTCCACTGATGGCTTTCCCAGGGTTAACAACAGGCTGCTGCGGAACATGTTGGACCTGCAACTTTGGCGGCGTTAATGGAGGTGGTGTTGATGATGGTGACACAGGTGGAGGTTGTTTGTCTGGCGGATAAAACTGTTCCTTAGAAGCACGCAAATGTTTACGATTTCTCCTGAACTGCCTGCCATCCTCAGTTATCATCACTTCATAAGATCTGATACCCGCTTCTCTTGTTACCTGACCTTTTATCCATTTCTTCTCTTGATCATTTGGTTGAGGGGTAATTCGCACCACTTGACCTTCTTTCAGCATTGGAAGCTCCTTTGTCTGTCTGTTGTAATAGGATGCTTGTTTCTCCTTCCTTGTCAGAATTTGTTTTCTTACATCAACTGGCGCTGGTTATGGCTTTAGTAATGCTTCAGCAGTCGGTAACTGTGTCCGAGTTCTTTGTCCAAACATTCTTTGAGCTGGGGACATATCCATGCCTTCCGTAGGAGTGTTTCTCCAGCTAAGCAACGAGATAAAATACTCCATACATGCCTCTTTGCTTTTCTTCATGAGGTTCTTGGCTGTCTTGACTGCATTTTCGGCTCTTCCATTGCTCTGAGCATGCAATGGTGAACTGGTGATGTGCTTAGTTCCTGCAAATCTCATAAAGTTAGCAAATTCAACTGAGTTAAATGATGGACCATTGTCACTACAAAGTTCATTAGGAATTCCATGAGTAGAAAAGTGTCTCTTCATCTTGGAAATTACACTTTTACTTGTTTTGCTACATAATGGGTCTACTTCAAAATAACCGCTATAGTAATCGACTGTGCACAAAAAGTCTTTACTGTCTATCGTAAAAATGTCAGTGGCAATCTTCTTCCAGGGTCTGTCTGGAATCTCGTGATAAATAAGGGGCTCCCTAGCTTGACTTGTACTTGATGATAGACAGATGTCACACTTACTATTGTAATCAGTGAGTTCAGCATTCATACCTGGCCAATAGACTAGTTCTCTAGCTCTCCGAAGACATCCTTGCACCCCAATGTGTGACTCATGCAATTTCAACATAATCTTGTGTCTGAGAACCACAGGAATAATACAACGTAGCCCTTTGAAGATGATGCCATCGACTACAGACAATTCATCTCGAATACCAAAATATGGATGGATGCTTGCTGGTAGACTGTCTTTGGAATTTGGAAATCCATCTAAAATTACCTTCTTGAGTAATTGCAATGTTGGATCTGCTGCAGTTTTCTGCTGTAACTCTTTCATCTGGTGGTCAGGAATTGAAAGAAACTGTGCTGTATGGACATGCTCTGTCTCTACTTCAGTTTTAGTAGGTATGTGGTCTTCTAGATATGCTTGATAACGTATCAGCAACGACCATATCTCTGCCAGGCTTGTAGCGAATTTCATAGTCATACTGTTGTAACCGCAAAAGTAACCGCTGGAGTCTTTTTGGCGCTGTGACTAGTGGTTTCTGCGATATGGAGACAAGCGGCTTGTGATCGGTCCATAAAATAACCTTACGACCATACACATACTGATGATTATGTTCCATACCAAACACTTGTGCTAACAGCTCTTTCTCGATCTGTGAATATCGCTGCTCTGCCGAAGTCAGTGCCCGGCTTGCATATGTCACAGGTTGTCCATTCTGCATGAGAGCAAACCCGAGACCATTCTGTGAAGCATCTCCCTGTCCCTCAGTTGCATCGGTATCGCTGAAATACTTCAGAACTGGAGCTTTAACAACTGCTTCCTTTATACGCTCGAAGGCATCCTCTTGCTCTTCTGTCCAATTCCATTCTGCATCCTTGTGTGTCAGCCGACGCAAAGGTTCGCTCATTCCAGATAAATCGTTCAGGAATTTTGACAGGTACTTCACAAGACCAAGGAATCGCAATACTGCTGGAACATCATTCGGTCACTTCATTTTCTGGATCGCTTCCACTTTTCTAGGATCTGGTTTCAACCCTTCTCTTGTGATTAGGTGGCCAATAAAGGACACTTCCCTGGATTTGAAAATCAGCTTATCCTTGTTTAACTTGACATTCTTTGCTCGACATGTTCAAACAGCATTGTCAGATGTTGGTCGTGGTCACACTCTGCCTCTTCATCGGTGTCTCCCTTTCCGATGATGAGTAAATCATCAGCTATCTTATACACCCCTGGCAATCCTTCAAGGCATTGATCAAGCTTCTGCTGAAAGCACTCGGAAGCTGGGCAAATTCCATAGGGCATGCGGAGCCAGCGAGACCTACCCCATGTTGTCTGAAACGTAGTAAGCTTGCTAGAATCTTCATCCAACTGGATCTGTAGATACCCATCTTTGAGATCAGCCTTTGTGAAAAACTTTGCTTTGTCTAACTCTGGGAGTATCTCCTCAACAACTGGAAGGGGATAATGTCTACGCTTCAGTGCGGTATTTAGATGCTGTGGGTCAATACATACCCTTACTTTTCCATTTGGCTTGGCAGATGCTACAAACCCAGACACCCATGCTGTTGGTTTCTCTTCTTTCACTAAGACGTTAAGGGCTTCAAGGCGATCAAGCTCTTCTTTTAACTTGGGTTTCACAGCAATTGGGACACGGCGAGGTGGCATCACAACTGGAGTCACTGTTTCATCCACCTCTAGATGAAGTTTGCCTTCAATCTTACCCAAACCTGTAAATTGATCTGCATACTTTGACAATACATCCTCTTTACTTAATCTCTGCTGCTCCCGAGATGTTACTGCATTACTACAATCCATATGTAAGATATTTTGGTGTCGAATGACTAACAGTTCCATCTTTTGAGCTGTTTTAACTCCTAACAGGGGAATGGACCCATCTTTAACAATCAAAAATTCTTCAAAGTACTTACAATTGTTCTTTTGGTTACAAATGTTCAACACTGCCTTGCCTAGTACTTCAAGCTTTGACTCAGAATAGGTAAATAAATTTCTATTGGTTGGCTGGACCTTGACATCTTTAGGCAAATAGGAATGCCGTAATACATTGCATGTTGCACCAGTGTCAATTTGCATCTGTATTATCTGGTCGCCCAATTGTATACCTGCACATACACAATCCCTCCCCGGGACTGTACTTACTCGTTCTGTAATTGACCAAATCTCATCATCAGTGGACTGATCAGTTTCCTCATGAACTTGGTGTGTTTTAGATCTGCCAGTTTGTATTGTCTTTGGCCCTCTTTCTTGTCTTTTTGGTTGCTGACAAACAGAACTAAAGTGATGTTTCATTGAGCAGTTATTGCATGTTTTATTGTAGGCTGGACATTTTTCTTTCTTACGCTCATGTCGCCTGCCACAATATTTACAATCAGGACATGGTAACTTCGGTTTTCTTTGGCTATTGAATTGGGGCTTCCCTTTTGGTTTGAGTGCATGTGTAGACTCTGAAGTGTTGTGCGATATTTGCTTCTGTTGATTGTTTGCTGCTTCGGCTGCTCTGCATATGTTTAAACATTTTTCTAAGGTTAAACTGGTTTCTTGTAGCAATTTCTTCTGCAAAGTATTGTCACGTATTCCGCATACTATTCTGTCTCTAACTAACTCCTCCTTAAGGGCTCCAAATTTGCATCTGTCAGCTAAAGTACGAATGACTGTCGCATATGTGTCTATTGTCTCTCCTTGTTGTTGAAATCTGTTGTGAAATTTATACCGCTCATAAATAGGATTTGTCTTACCTATGCAGTAATTGTTCCATAGTTCTATTATCTTCGTAATGTCTTGTCTTTCCTCGTCATTTCGGAAAGGTAAACCATTATGAATTTCCATGGCTTCAGGACCAATACACGTGATAAACGTAGCAACTCGATATTTTTGGTCGCGTTCGGCGAGGTTTGTGATTACTTCATATGCTTGCCAAGTCTGACGCCAGTTCTTCCAATTTTTCGCTAAATTGCCTGTTAGACTTATTGGCTGTGGGAGCAGTACATTAGATGTAAAAATCTGCTGAGTTGATGGACCTGTTGGGCTTTCATTTTCTTGTTGTTCTTGCTGCCTTCATGTCGCCATAATTAATGCACTTCAGGACTCGATTCCTTCTAGAGATTATTAGCTTTATCAGCGTTTATACTGTAGCTTTTTGATATCTCTTTTCTTTGAGAAGCTAAAGTTTCTTCACACCTGACACCATGTCATATTATCGCATCCAAACTCGTGTATTGAGTACAATTTAATACAGAAGAAGTGAGAGAGATTATTTACAACAAGCTAATATTTATACCTTACCTAACTACATTACCCATCATGCACGGGGCACGAGTTACACAGGGCACCTATGTAAATAACGTTACAGTAGCCAGTAGGTATAATGCATTAATGCATTAAAAAATATTCTAAAGATATTTTGTGTTAACACCCAAGTTCATTAGAAATGTGATAAGAGGTTATATATCAAGTTGAATACATATATTACAAAATGCTTATTTACATGCAAACCTATTGGACTTGGATTCAAGTTTCAGCAACATGCAGAGACAGCGGATGTTTTCCTGGTCTTTTATTAACTACTGACTAGACTAGTAGCATCAGGCTCTAGATGTCTTTGAAAAGGTGTTTTAAAAACACAAACATGTATCATAACCTGTTGAACATAACCCATGAGGTTGCATGTAAATGGCAATAGCACAAAGAACACTAAATATAATTATTGCCTAGCAATCTCTGTAACCCCCTGCTCTCTATCTATGACAGTGTGCAACACCATACATGAGTTATAATTATAATATGGTATAATATAATTATTATATAGTGTATATATGAATTATATTTTAAATTAAATTTTAATCTCCATGCGTTATGGTGGTTTATTGACCCAGACATCCATCTGCAAGAGAAGATAGCTTTAGTTGGCTGCTAGACTACATTTAGAGTATTCAAGCACACATCTCGAGCAGGAGATAACTATATGAAATAGCTGAAAGTTTCTAACTAGCACACAGTCATAAACAAAAAATAGCAATTATTGCAGGATTTTCATTCTGGTTAAAATGATCTCCTAGATTGTCCAGTTATTTTACACATTACACATTGGTATATTACAGTGAACATGTGTACAGTATTTATTGTTAAACACAGGAACATGTTGGGGCATACAAATGAAAGACATACTGTGAGGCAAATCAATGTAAATGTCAACTTCAGGTTTGACTGGCAGAGCTGGCCCAGTTAACATGCATAAAAAGTATTTGAAATATACATACTGTATGACATTTAAAAACATACAAACATGCGCATACATATATTTTAATGTCAATTGAAAATATACCAGCTTAATGTACTCAATAGATAGAATAAAATTCCAACACTTATACCAACTGACTTACTTGGATAAATCCAAATCATCAGATGCTATTGTAAGGATAATTTTATCATCAAAATATGATAACGGTCGACACATATTATTATTAGCATATTCAGGGGTGGATCTAGGGGTTGTCAGATGAGTCACGCGACTAAGTCAAAAAATACACAAGTCCAGGTCGAAATATTTAAACTTCAGTCAGCGAAAATAGTCATTTGATAAATTAACAGTCCAGTTAAAAATTATTAAGCTTCATGCAGTTGCTGGTCACTGACTTTTGAGCCCTCGGCAAATGAGTCATAATAGCGAATACCCGCTTGAATTTTGCCTCATCGACTTCTGATTCTGGGCATTTGATTGGCTTAGAATAAGTTTGCCTCATCTTTGCGGGGGTCTGACTCATCTGCGCAATTTAAGCGTTTCCGATTGGCTGGTGAAGGGCTAATACTGGTTCTTCATTGGCTTGCCTTATCTTTGCGGGGGTCTGACTCATTCGCCAAATTTAGGCTTTCCGATTGGCTGGTGAAAGAACAATATTGATTTCTTATTGGTTTGCTTTATTTGACTTAAAGGAAAAAATATATCCTTCTCAAGTAAATAAGGAATATTGAAAAATTTCTGGATGTTTGACAGCGGATATTTTTAAGAATCTGTTGGATTCTGCTCAATCGGGCCATTTATATGACGAATTCGTATATTTATTTTACAAAATGGCATTTCATCTTAATGATTTGAGGTTCCTGCAAGGCCCAATACAGATCTTTGTTAGGAAGTTCACGCTACAAATAGCAAATATGTTGAATAGCTTTCAGTTGTCGTCTTGTCGAGTAATATGGATAATTCCGTTACCTTGTGTTGCTCGTCAAAATGAGAAGTCTACTGAGATAAGGTAAAGATTCATGTCGATGTTCATATAAACAATGCTGTATAAATTTTGTATAAATTTCGCGTTCAGATGATAAGTTTTAAAATAATTTTTGAAATGTCATTATTCCGGGGGGGACGGGCAATTGAACCACCTCCCCGTTTTTACATCCGATATTTTGACTAACGTGCGAAAAATCCTAGATCCGCCCCTGGGCATATTTAAGAACAACACGAAAGATTCACTGACAGTCTACTCTAAAAACGTACTAAATATAATATAAAATGCAACCAAATTCTGTAATAAAATATTACCGTCAAATGAGAACTTCTTCAGTGATTGCTCCAGGTCATTCATATGGCCACAAACCACCAAAAATACAAGAATGCACGAGTAAAACGCCGAAAAGCTAGATTTGTCAGAAATCGTATTTCTGGCAAAAAATATTTGCATTTTCTGCCAGGCGCTCCATTTCTCCGTTGCGTCCTCCCCAAAATTCCTTGCGTGCTCGCTCTGCTTAGCCACTGATCTATGTAAAAAGCCTGTAGTGTTCCTATATTTTATTTTATTTAAAGCGCCTGGGAACGAGGCTGTATAGTCCCTCTGTCCCTCACATTAAACCTAACTTGCAATTATATACTCTTGTAGGAATCAACATTCAATCACTACCCAGTTTAGGTTAATTAACTTACAAACCTTTCCCCACCATTCACAAAGAGTTTGGGGGGAGGACGATTCAATCATCAGTGCATAAGAAAATGAAGTTCACAATGTTTATTTAATTTTACACATTGAGAAATCTGTTGCTACTATAGCCAACAGTGCAATTCACAATAAAAACAGTCGACATGAAACATAATTTTCCATTATGTACAGTAAACCTCTTTATACATACTGTACAATATTTTGCCATATAGTACTTCTCAACATATATCTATTTACACTATACAATTACATGCATCATGCAAAAGTTGTAATCGAACTTAACTATAGTCAGTTGTTTGTTTCATATTCATATCGGCTACAAACAAATTTTCCACCAGCTTGGTTGCCATATGGTGTGCATAAATTAGTTGGCAGGTAACAAGTGAACTCCTTTTGCTGGAAAATTTTCATGTTCTCTTTGGCAGAGGCTTGCATTTGTACTTGATAACTTTGAAAATGATTATGGAAACCAGTAGTTTCCAATGGCAGGACAATAAATTTGATGTCATGAAGGTTCTTGTTGACAACAAAAATCTTGTGAATCTTCCAGAAATATGGAAAATCATCTTCATCAAAGCCAATATGAAGGATAGCACCTGGCTTGTATTTAGTTCCACTAATGATCACCCGCTTTGGCCTAAGATAATTTTAGTCTTTAAGGATGTGTATTAAAATGGTAATATACACTATTGAATTATTATAACTATTAATTACACCCCTTCACTTCAGTCTTATTGCATGAGCACTCATGTGGAGTATATAGGTGTCTGTTAGTAATTAAGGCGAAGCTCACTGGTCTTGTTGTCATTTCAGCATCTGGCACCACACTGACCACAGATGACAGTTTGTGCATTGGTAAGAGCCAGTGTATTTTGTATAAATACGTACAGATGCAACTGCATCACATTGTTTTATTGTGTATTATATATCAAGCTGCACTGACAAAGTGTGGAATGCCCAAGAATGCATGTCTGCAGAACACAAGTTACCATGTAGCATGAGCAAGCTGCACAATGTTCCTCCATGCACTTTAGTTTACTGTAGATAAGTAGAATGTACTGTCTAACATCAGATGACTCTTACTTGCCAAGGAAAGAAACTTACTCATAAACTGGTGTTTAATTGTCCACCAAATTTCCATTTTGTCTTTCTGACCTTTTCAACAAGGTAAAATAGTTTAAATTTCCAGCCAAATTACTTTTACCTACAAGAATAATTAATTAACAATCAATGCAATACAATTTATCGCATATTAGTTTATTATTATTTTGGTGACAGTATGTACTTGAAGATAAACACTTGTATTTTTCATATACACTTATTTTATACTGCAATATGCCTGAAAATGACTTCCTTGATATGGTCAAAATGTTTTCAATAGCCCAGACATTACAATATTTTATCAAGAACAATACAGTATCTCATGAATCATTGCAGCAAGTTTCTGAGGAATTGCTCCTGTCAAACATAATTATCCATATCTTTTTGCCATATCCTTTCTATATACCGTACGTTGCACTATAGTGCATAAAACAAAGTCTAATCTGGTATTATTCAATTTTGTAGAATAGTAAACTTTAAATAATTACAGTCCTGTACCTGGACCTGTTTCATTCCCCTTGGAAAGAAATGTTGAGGCACTGCCATCAGGTGTTTGTAGATAGTAGCACAAGCTTTCTTGGTGTCGTTTTGCCAGTGTGTAAGGTAAATTGATGAAATTTCTTATGTTCATTGCCAGCCTCTTAAAATAGCTATGCTTAGCTTCATACCTCATGCACCACACTCTGGATAGTGGACCCAAACTATTAAATGTGCATGAAACATACATATTAGCATTAGTATGCAAGATTATATGAGGGGAAATATACATTATGCACTTTAACATAATAATAATAATAATTATATTTCAACAGGGAGCCCATATCACCGAGGTGTTTTTCAATGGGGCCCTGCAATAAAATTATTAAAATACATGATATAAATATTAAGCTATAAAATTCATTAAAGTTCATAAAAGTTCATAAAAGTTCATGAAAGCACATAGACAATTAAAACAACACATAGAATAAGAAATTTAAAAACTATTATAACTCATGCAAGTTTTTAAGGTTATTCTTAAAAAGAGTCAAAGATGTTGACTCTCTAATATACTGGTCAAGAGAGTTCCAATCCTTAAGCGCTTGATAAGTAAATCGTTGTTTTCCCCACTTCCTTCTAACCCGCAGTAAACGAAAATCATTGTTTCTTCAAGTGTAGAGATCATGG